TTTTAATTTTATTTTCAAAAAATTATATATATAAAAAACATATAAAATTTTTTTACAAATTTTTTAGAAAACCCACCTGGATAGTAAATATACTTAAAATTTTTTTTTAAAGGTTTGTAAAATTTGACCCGGCCGGGTTATGAGAACTGATTTATTAAATTTGTATGGCCTTAGTTGTAAACTTTTGATTTAATGAACTTTTAAGAGTAATATAAGGCATGACTCCATTAATACTACTTTTAAGTGTGATATAAGGTATGACTCTATTAATACCACTTTCTGAAATGCTTTTATCTGTCTTTTTAGACAATCCTAGACCTATAATATAAAATTATAAATTTTACTCAGAATCTTAATTTTAAACTATCTGAAGAATTTTTATATAATTTACTAGTAGAGATGCTTGCTAATGATTCACTATTATTTGAATCAATTTCAAAGATATAATTATTACTTTGTTACTTTTTTCTACAATCTAATCATAATCAAATATTAAATTGTCTTCAGAACCATCTTATTATTTGATATTCTACAACATTTAAATGATTTTTGAATAAGTTTAGAATCAATATCTTTGCTTTGTCAATCTATTCTGCAACTATACTATAAGCAGAATGTTGAATACGCTCTTTAGATATTAATATTTTTATCGCTTCAGCTATCCAAGTATTATAAAAATGATGAACCTAAAAAAATAAAATAAAATTAAAATAATAAGCAAAAGATATGAACCCAATTTATTTATTGTTATGGCTTATGCTAAAATTTGAACCTATTTTAATATGAATCTTTAAAAAATTTTATGTTAACTTTTTTTTAAGGATTAGTTTAATAATTAAAGTATATATATGAATTAAAGAGTAATATGAATTTTAGCAAAGCTTATATTTTTAAATTACAACTTCAGATTTCAGCATTAATTGCAGCATTTATTTTATTTTTTTATATCACTATAGATTACCCAACTTTGTTTTAAAAGATTTATTGATTGCAATATTAAAAGGTTGCAATTTGAGCATTAATCTTCTAAGAATAACTGCCAAGTTTGTATTATGTTCAAAAAATTGTTGTTTTACTGAGTTTGTTAAATGTTCTTTAAAAGAATCTAAAACTAAAAGAGACCTGGGATATCTGGATAATAGAGCATGATGGGTCCAAATATTCTCAAT